TAGGTAGCGTGCGAGTTGAACTTGACTAAAATGCCCTGTGCGGATCATCGTTAAGTATATAATATGGATGAAACATTGAAACTATAATAAGTATAATATGTTACATTTTATGCATTACGTCAATACTGCAGACGACGCGAAGGCGAACAAACACAAAATTAAACGCGACATGCGGCATAGATAAATTTTTAAGCAAGTATGAAGTAGTTACATTTATGTTACTATGTGCAAAACACACGATACATTTTATCAGTGAAAGCTTCTTCCATGAAGGAGAACTAACAATTTTATTTTTTTATGGATGTGAAGTATTTTTTTTTTTTGTGAAAGCTTTTTGAATTTATAGTTGCTGTAGCATATCTAGTACAAAAAAACAACAATTATGAACACTATAAGAATAAAACATATCAACTACATAATTTAATATTTAAAAAACATCTAAACTCAAGAAAATTTTAAATTTATTATAATATTATGTAATTCGTATTATTAATATATACCTATATATACGAAAAAAATTCCATATATAATTTTCAGTGTAACTTAGTGATTTTAACTTAGGTCAGTACCAACTACAATATTGATACATATCCATCCGATATGGATATCTAAAATCCGGTCCTCACCAAGAAATATTAAATATTGTCGGCAACACATGTTTCTGACATTGTCGTCGACCATTGACCAATATTTATGTTACTGCTTATGACGGGAAATCGATAACACTGTCGATACTATTTTTTCATATATATTATAATATAGTTAAGTATAAAGATAGTGTATAGACTTTGCCTTGATTTCCCTTATTGTTTAATGTGTATAAATGTATCCAAAGGAAACTATATTAACTATGATTTAATTAGACATTAGACTACAAAAATACTTTAATATTTATATAAATTCAGTGAACAAATGAGATGAATAATGTTATTTATGTCACACTTTAACAAAACTTAAATTGTTTATGCAGGTTGAAATGTTGGAAAATGCCCTTATTCGTCCAGCGGACAGTAAAATATATATGTATTATTTAATTACTAAATTTAGTGTATAAACATTATATTATCGGCCATATTATCCAAACAGTATAAAGTGCAGTGTAACCATAAATCTTATGCGTCTTATAGTAATTAGTATTTATACTTTAGTATTATAACTTATAAGGTGTAGATAAATATATCATACATAATATATTATACTATATATAATTTATATTTTAAATATAAGAGTATGCGTATAGATTGTGTATATATTAATAAAGAAAAAAAATGTAAGAGTAAGAAATAAGAATATATATTTTTTTTTCGAAAACAAAAATAAATAATTGGTCTGTATCAGGGATAGGCGACCGCATCCGGCTCTACCTTATTTTTTTATCTGGCCCTTTCTAAATTTTAAAATTACTTCATACAATTTTAACGTTTATATGTATTAAATACTATTTATAAATTCCGTTGTTCGTAGATAATAAATTCGTACAATAATCCTATGGCAGTTGAGATCGAAGAGCAAAATACTTAACTTTAATTAGAATTATGTGAGTCGCTAACAGATCCATGTTATCTACAAACGAGATTGACGTGTGCTCTTGGAAACAATTACCCGTTGAAAAATATCCACTATTACGATGTTTCACTGATTTTCCCTAAGCAGTAGCCTCTTCAACCAAAATTCCAAAGTCTTCAAAATAAATATTTGGGAATATGGCTAAAAGCCCCATGATTAGTATTCACTATCTGTAAATACAAAGTCCATCCTTAACTTCAAATTTTTTTTAAGCCGCAACTGGCCATGTCCAAACTAGATTGTTGAAGAACTTTTTTTCTTAAATATCCGATCACCAGTCATCAACCATCACATTACATTGACAATTGATATATTATGTAATAATATGTAGTTTGTTTTCATAATAATTTGTTGTCAGTGTCGTGTTTTAATAATAAACTCTAATAAAAGAGAATCAACATTGCCATAATTAAAATTAACACATAATATAATTTATTAAGGTTTTAAAATATGCGATTAATACACCCACAGGTCAGCACTCACTAAATATGCATACCGAAAATTCACGAAAATAGCACTTAACCGTAATGTAGGTACCTCAATTATAATTCATTATATCTAATTATTAGTGTTTACCTAATTAGTATCTGAGAAAAATGGATATCCCACGCCCTAAAAAATGAATATCCTTGTTTTTCGTATATTGATTAAGTAGATAGGTACCTACCTAAATCGGAACAACGAAAGAAAGTTGGAGCTTCATAAAAATATAAAACATAAACGTATCCAATTTATTATCCTATCAATCCAATCATGTTTATAAAGATTTCTTTTTTTAAATATTTATATAATTATACCTCATTTAAAGTCTGAATTTGATTACTAACCAATGCAATATCAAATATTTGAACAGTAAGTAAATATTTTAAAAAAATCGTTGTTTGTATGTTACATATATAAAAATTTATTCGATGTCAAATAAACCTTATGTTTGAGTATGCCTACATAATTAAAAAATGAATATTTTTCTGAGTTGAGTTTGTTGTTTTTAAATTTGTACTAGGTACCGAAGTTTTTTTTCATTTTTTTTTCGTAGATAATTTAAATCCTTCATCCTTTAGAGACACTCAGAAACTACTGGACCGTCTTCTATAAAAATTATATCAATAGATTCCTACTTTCTAGAGACTCGGGGAGTTTTGATACCTTTTTTTTCAACCCCACAAATTATTATTCATTTATTTCTGTTTGCAATTAAATACACGAACAATTTTGGCGATTCAAGGAAGGTTTGGATAATAGATCGGATCAGACACCGGTTATTCTAAGGTGGCTTACCCAATAATAATAATATTAAAATCATAACCGCATATTCGTTTATTTCGGTGGAAGTGGGTTCTCCATATCAAATTCATTATTTATCTCTGGGCAGCGCCGGGCAATACAGCTAGATGATTAAAAGTATTTTACATTAACGTCTAACGAATTCCTAAATTGATTTGATAGCTTAAAAAAATAATGCAACATTATATTGAGAATATTTAGGTACTTATAGAAGATGATTTTTTATGCTAGGTAAAAAGAAGGTTATATGTTTTGAAAATTCAAATTAAATAATAAATATAATTAAAAATACAATTTACTCTGAATGTGTAAATATAAATATCATGTAAAGGTTTAGTTGAAAATGGAGGGGGTAGATATCTGTTATAGCCTATAATAGGTAATGGTTTAAGTAGTATGAATTCTAATAAATGAGTAGTTGTTGACAGATAGAAAGATGGGACACGTGCGAAGTGCATACGTATTACCTATATGTGCTGAGGTCGAGATTTATTAGGTCGATAAGTTGATTAAACGAAAACTGCTATTATAATGAGTTGTTCACACATTTACATCCATACATATTATAATATCGTTCAGACATACGAATTGAAAAATTAAATAAAATCACTAGAATAAAATATATATGATTTATAATTTAAAAAAGACTATTCAATTTTAAATATAATATACTAAAAAATAACTCATTACATTTTAATATTTTACATGGTCTTAAATTCATAACAGAATGGTTGTTTTTATTGAAATCAAAAGTATTTTAATGCTGTAGTTTATACTTCTATAAAACATAAATATAATATTATTTGTATTATTTCGAATTGTATCAATATACCTGCTACATAATTTGTTAGAATTTAAAACAGGAGATATATAAATGTTTGAAGCACATTCAATGATATTGATACTATAAAATACTTACATTTATCCAATACAATAATAAATCGATAGTATAAAATGGAAATGGGTAAAATCGTAAATTACGACATCTTTAAACATAATTTGACTATTAGCCATTAGGTAGCCAATAACAAGAGGGTAAATTATGTATATACTAGTGGTCAATATAATACGAACTAAAAAATAAAGAATAGATTAGTTTTGATTTGATATTAGAAAATTTTACACTACGGAGTATAAATAAAGTTATTATAAAATAAAATATTTAAGTCTCACTTGTATTGTTTACGAATATAAAATATGTAAACGGAAGGTAATCCCGATTACTTATACTCATAGAGCTCATCCAAAATATGTACTGTTAAATAATCAATAATGCTTGAGTTAGGATAACCAATATTTATTCTTCGAGTAGGTAGACTAGGTAATCAATTCGTGCACTCCGTAAGCAGTATACAACAGTACACCGGGGCTATAAATACTAAATTAAAAGATACCAAAAAAATATTTTACCTATCGTGAACCTTATACTCATTGTTTTTAAATGTACCAATAACGATGTGATTGAACTTTTTACATTGGTAAAATCACAATAATTTTCTACTAAAAAGTAACTTGGCTTTCACAAAATGCCAAATACACTTATGCCACTTTTACTCGTTTTCGACTAGTTTTATGAACTTTGCATGTAACGATAAGGAGGTGTGGATATGAATACCATCATCTAAAGTCGTCGACACCTTGAGGATATAGTTTAAATAATAATAATAATAAAAAATGACGATTTGGTGGCGGCAACGGCCACTCGTATAAGGTTACACTGAAATACCAGCGATAGGAGATCGGAATCCGATTCACTTTCACGGTGAAAAAAATTTCTCCGAGACAATATGTCAACGAGATTACGGTGAACCTGAAAACGCCATCCGTCGTAAAAATTGCGATAATTATATCTTAGTGTCCTTGGCGGGAAAGCTGCGAATGGTGTACGAAAGCCGTATAGGTACTCGCCGGCAGATATTATAGATACACAATAATATGAATACCGATGATTTCGTATTCTCCGGCTTGCTTTGGAAATGAGAAGAGATATGGAGAGAGAAAAAGAAAGAAGAGAGAAGAAAAAAGTGAGATGGATATATTTATGTACATATACAGAGAGAGAGAGAGAGAGAGAAAATGATGTTCACGATGTTGGAGGGGTAAAGTGAGTGGTGCCCAGGAACTTATAAATATTGGTTGGCCGGTGACCCAAATATCATTCGTACATATCCGTCGTGACCTTGGTCGTGTGTGCCGGGCATGCCATCTTCTTAACCGTCCACTAGTAGTAGTTTATACGGTACCTATACCATATTAACCAGTGCCCGTCTATAGCGCGAAGTTTAAGTTTAACACGCGTTTTGTCAGTCGTCGGTCATGGCCGGATGCTGATCGTTACTAAACTATAATTTATTGGAATTTACATAACGTGATCAATTTAAATTCAAAGTAAGTACATTGAGTATTATTATAACATTATAATTTATTAAATATTACATTTCGTTGTATACCTAAATAATACGGACATCGTCTACAGAATCCGACGCAGTCCGAAGTAAATCAAGCTTGTATTGTTAATATCTTAAAAAGCTCAAAAAGTTTCATTTAGCCATTCTAAATACTTGCAGGTGATATAACCAGGCCCGCCGTTAGATATTTTCCGCCCTAAAGCGAAAATGTTAATGCCACAATTGTACTTGCTTGTGCCCTAGCAACCGACCTACAACATAGAACAAAGAATAAGTAGACCGAAGATATTATTTTTGAACTTCCCTGCAGTAGTTTTCAATAAAACCTCGAAACGCTACGAATAATGAACACACAATTATAAATTTATAAACAAATACTTGATTATTTGAAAACATCTTGAAAATGTTTAATTAAACTCAATTTTGATAAGGTTACTATAGCGAACTACACAAACTATAAAATAATTATTATTTTCTTTTAATAATTAGTATACAAATTTACCAATAATCAATAGTACCTATATGTTATAGCCTTTAGGTATATAATAGGGTTGTTTAACATTTTGACGAATAACAATAAATTAAATATTTCAGATTAATATTATACCGTTAGGTTAGATAATAATTATTAAACATTAGCTACACTAAAACAATATAATATTATCTTAGGTATAATAATATTAGATAGATCGTTAAAGGTCCGTTACATTTTGTAGGTAATCTGAAATAATTGGATAGCTATAGGCGTCTATTGCATATCCAATTGAGATTATTTAATAGGTGATAAACACATATTTCCTTATAGTATGCCTACTTATTCGCATTGCACGCATTGTCATAATAATATATTCTGGTTTGTTCTACTGACCGGGTCAATTTATTGTATTTAAAATTGTACAGTTCCTTCACACTTTCTAATTTAATTTATTTTTTAAAATAAAGCTAATAGACTATATAGCACACAAAAGATACTTCGAGTAAATTGTTCCGATAGAAGAATGGCCTCTTAAGAGATACGAAAACTGAATACTAATGATGATAATTTTCGTTCGTACCGAATACACAAGTTGAAGTCGACCGAGTTGACGTTTGGCAAATCAGTCATATTGTTTTGTCTAAAATCTATTTAACTATGTGAATATCTAAACGCTTCAATATCTCGCCACGTCCTAAATAATATTTTAGTTTTATATTATCAATAAAATTACTATAATATCATGAGTATTGACACTGTATTTTATATGGAGTAATTTAGAAATCGGTTTAGTGATTTCTATAGTAATAGACTTTTCTACCTTAGTGCAGTCTAATATGATTATTGATTACATTGACGGTATAGCCTGTATACATTTACAAATAAAGCACTTGACTTAGATCAGCGTTTCTTAAACTTTTTTATCCGTGGAACCCTTTTTTATGTGCACTTTCACCGTGGACCCCTAACTTTTTTTAGCTTTTTTTTATTGAGCTCTTAACAATAAATTATTACAGCTCGACAATTAGAACCACTACATTGTTTCAATTCTTTCAATGCGTCATTTTATGTAAGGAATATTTGCAATAAAAGTTATAATTATGTGTCAACATTTAAAATTTTGAATAAAAGCCACAAGTTTCGGGGAACCCTGAAGTGACCTCCGCGGAACACAGTTTAAGAAACGCTGACTTAGATAAATGTTTTTTCGGCCCAAAGTTTTTTAAAAGCCAGATTTACAAATCGGTTATTTTTAATTTTTCATAAAAAATTTTAATCAGATTTTAAATTTTTGTTTTCACCATTAAAGAATAAAAACAAAAGGTTGTACATCATACATGTAACGCAAAACATCAATAACTTATATATTATTTAAAAAACATTAAAAATATTATCAGAACAAAAGTTATTTAATTTGTCAGGTCTTCCTGTTACACACTTATATAGTGACTTTAGGTACACCGAAAACAACGTATGCCATGTGCCGATGTAACACATGTATTATATTACATCGAAGTTTTACGCGTATACTCCTACGCGAATAGATGTTATAATACAAATACTGGGTATGGGTAATAGGTATCTATTAAATAGCGGTTCACCAGGCACCAGTGACCTTCAACCATCAATTATTATATTATATTACCGAAACATCAAACAACATACACGGAAACACCTCCTTGTCCGACATTATTCAATAACTATTAAACTGATTTCATATGGGGTTTTCTCGTTTCCATCGTTTTAATATCAATTCCGCCAGACATGTTTTGTTTATGTTGACATAAATCCGCTGGTTATCGATTCCATGTATATTTTTGGGCCCCACTTTTTATTGACACATTGTAGTTTAATATTTAAAAGAATCTAAATAAAAACGTACACAATATTATTAAAATATGTCGAATGTTGCAATTTCATAATTAATTTTTACACGGCGTAACATAAAACGAGACTACAATATTGTTACTAATACATTTCTAATACATTTTAATAGTATCATTTTAACACTGGAACTGAGAACATATTGGAAAAATTGATGTTATAGTCAATAATACTTGTACTTTAATCATTTTCGACAGTACCAATGACGAGTAACACATTATTTTTTGATAAAACTGATTTATAGATATAACATATAGATGGCGAAATTAATCCACTGCGATATGCCATGAGTATCTGTTACAATTAATCGACGTTGTTTGAATGTTTTATAATTTTTATAACATTATAATGCTTAGATAATAATTTGTGTCAATAACCACATTGAATGATTTCATATTTAGTTTTATTAATACAATACGAAATTTGATAAATTTTAGCCACGGCATTTAAGTACATGATACTAGCAGTAGGCTTATATAAGATATATTTATTGCTATCGAATTTCATCAGAATTTAACATCAAATTCTATGCACATAATATATATATAGTAAGTTTAGTGGAATATATCAACCAGTGATTGAAGTCGCTATTCCAATGTACTGTATAAAAAATGCTTGAAATTCATATAGTTTAGTGTTTTTAAAAGCGTTCTCGGGAGTTCTACAGAATGAACGTAGGTATTGATTGTATCGCATTAAATTAATACCCACCAAAACGTTTTTATTTCAATTAATAACGTCTATCTTAATCGCTTGCCAAAAACGATTTAAAAAGATCATCGTATAGTTACACGTTCACGGAATTCAATACAAACACACACACAAGCATGCATACGTGTTTTTCTATGTGCTCCAGTGGTTCCGATTAGTTAGCGAAAGCAGTCTATAGACTTTCTTGTGTATGCGTGTGTTGTACGGATAAACCGGATAATAATAATATAAGTCTCTAACCGAACGATGTCTAGCGCAGTAATTATATTATAAACCACTTTCTTTCCGGTCGCACCCGAAATACAGACAAACACTGTACCTCGAGTATACCTATAATACCCACAATTTCACTGTAAAACATCGTCACCGTAGTCCGGTCAAACCACCGGCAGACCAATACCTTTCCGATCGAGTTCTCTGTTCGTTAATCATATTACCTAAAAACAATATGTTGCAATTCGAGATCGGGGCTTTCACTCACAAGTCAGAACACCATCCTCATAGCAAACAAATCCGAAATGAAACTCATCTCTCCATACTCGACATTATATTATACTTACCCGCCGCGGTCAGCCGTCGTAGCTGTCGATGGCGAGAGCGAACGCGTAATCCGGTCAAAACGTCGTCATCTGTGTGTGTTGTAGCAGTAGCACACAATAACAACCATAGATATTTAAAATGTTTTAAGGGTATCACTTTCAAGTGATTTTCGTTTTTTATTGATCGATCTAATGGTGCAGATCAAAAGAGTTCGCGAGGAGGTACTCAAACTTTCGATCGTATAGAAGCTCGACAATTAGAACTCCCTTAGGTTATTTTTGACACTATTTAAAAAACAGATTTTTGATCAACAACGTTTAATATTAAGTTTCAATGGGTACCACATTATAGTCGTAAATATTTCTTTAGAAACAAAAACTTGCTAAAAGTGATTCCTTAGCTAAAATATTGTAAAATAAATAATAACTATGTTGTGCATACGATTTTAATGTACCTATAGGTTATCAAATATTGCAAATGCTTCCTTTTTGATAAGCCGCTGCAGTCGTTTTAGGAAGATAGACGGTATTACTTGCGAAAATTTAATTAGAAAAAATAATGGTTCAATAAAATAAATTTGAACTTTTGTACCTAATATAATAACTTTAATTGACAACCAAAATAAAAAAGTAGATACATTAGTAGTCGTCTGGAAAATTTCAAATTAAACGCCAGCTTGCAATATGATTTATGATAATCCAGAATACAATTTTAAAATACATATGTTAGTAATACATTCATGATTGATTGTAATTCTCGTAATTATTCACCGCTGCATCATCATCTTAAACTAGTTACATTAGCTGATACTACTTCTTACATCCTGCTAACCTAAATTTTTTGATGACATTTTTGAACGGGTAAATCATCTTACTTACTTTCTCAAACTCCTTTCAAAGTCCCTGTACGTTTTACCTGTCAATATGTTCTTTTTCACCTTCCTATACTTCTTCGACTTATTATAATTTAAATGAAACACTACGACGTTGCATGCCTATAGCCCGTTCCGACCCTTCCTTTTCTATTTTGTGATTACGATTATTAATATTATTTTGTATACTTAAGTTTAATTTCACACTATACTTCGATTATAATGTTAATTAAATGTACAAATTGTAAGTTGGGCATATGACATATATGCTCGTATTGTATAATTAAAAATTAAATAAATAAATGTATATAATATAAAGTATAATGTAATATGCAGATAAACATATAGGTATGAACTTGAAAAGTATTCTGAAATAAAAGTCTACTTTACAGTCAAGAAAATAAAATGAAATTTGTTTACATTTTTCAGATGAAAGTAGTGCTAACTGTTTTAGCGCTCGTGACCACCTTAGAGCTGGTACTAGGAGTACCGGTTTATGGTCCACCGCAACCGTTGCCGATTTCGCACAAATACAGGTCTCCAAATGGTGCACCCATCCCCGCCAAGTATCCTCCCCACCCTAGTGGTCATTCGGGAAAAAACGAATTCTATTCGAAATTTAATCCTCATTCATTACCACCGGGCCTACGCGGACCCCCACCCCAACTGCCACCACCTTTTGCTAAATATCCTCATCTACCACCACCCGGCAAACATCAACAGCAATACCAACAACAAAACCAACATCAACACCAACAACAACATCAACAACAGCAACAGCAACATCATCAACATCAGCAACAACAGCAACATCAACAACAACCACACCACCCGTCTAACAGCTTAAGACCGGTAGGACCACAGTTCCAGTCGAAACCGCACTTACTGCAGAACGGTGCTCCTCATCATTCTTCTCAACAGAATCAAGTTAATAATGGCCCTGAACAGCGAGTACAATTAGTACCATCGAGGCCCACTTCTAAGATAACCAACGTCTGGACGGGACCTAAATTATCCGGATCACCCGATTTCCCACCACATTTCCCCGCTGCCAGCAACCCCATAGCCCAAGCAACTGCAGCTCCATTTCTGGAAAAACCCAGAGGACCTTACATAATCAATAGTGACGACGAGAGGGGTCCTATCAAGACTATACCAGCGCCGAACCTGAACCCAGCAGACAAACCAGCCAACTTCGAAGAACAATTGTACAGGGCACAACACCAACAATCGTACGCTCAACCGTTGGACAATTCGATAACTGACGAAAAACTCTCATACCAGGTATTAATAAGTGTATAAAATCTGTTATGGATTCGGATGATTTATTAGAAATACTAATTGAAACATTTACTTTATAGGTAAATATAATGAATCACTTATAGTATAGGTACTAATAACTAATAAGACTACTTATTAAACATGGGCATCTTGACAACACATAGTTATTTGTACCTATAATATTACACCTCGAGTAGGCCACGAAAATCAAATAATATACTGTAGTTTATAAGAACGTGTGTACCTATTTATCTAGACGTGGCGATAATGTTTTAATAAATGTGGTTAGGTCTCTATTATTATATGTTTTCTATTAGCTTAGAATGTATCCGATACTCGTCAAATATCGATGGACAATAATGCAATTGCTGGTATTGGCAGTTAATTGTAGTTTAAAATCTTTAAACAATTGTCTTTAAAATATGTTTGTGAAAATTTTAATATTACTTTCTCTCAAAAGACAACAAGAGAAATTATGAGAAAATAATCAAAATTTAAATTTATGTCAAACGCAATGATAAAATATATAAATGTATAATGTCAGATTCATTATAATAATATGCCATTAAATCAGAGAAAGGAAAGAACGATTGTAAATAATATGTACAACAATCGGTAGGTTTTTTCTTATTGCGTGTACCTAGCTACTTATATTATTTCACTCGTTGACAGTAAGCAAATTCATTCATAAGTGCACGCGAGACATGCACGTAACATATTATTAGAAAACGTACAAAAAATAGATATTATAACTGTTAAAAAATATCGACCACTTTTTATTGTTCAATAGGTAACCAAACTATTTTCCTGGAAATCTGGTCTTATTTTTTTATAATTATAGTAATTATAAATTTGTAATCGATATTATCATACAATAAAAGTTTCAAATGGTTTAATTTTCAATTAGAACTTTTAAATATACTGACAACATTTTAACTGGTGTTTAGATATAGCTAAGGTTTTTAAAATTCTGTAAACAAGTCAAATTGTAATACAAATTGAAATAATATATTACAAACGTATTTAGTAACATTTAGGGTTTATGAAATGGGTTTTACTAAATAGTAGGTAATGTAACGTAGATAACTTAAATTTCAATATTAAAAAAATATATTTTGTACCCAGAATCGAAAAATATAAAGTAGATATGATTTTGATTTTTTGTAAAATTAAGTAGGTAAATTTAGTTTACCTAATTGATCAAATTGGACTATTTAGTCAATTTATTCATGTTATATTCATTAATTTGAGAATCGTTGACTTCACATCGATAACTGTAATAATATTATATTGAATAGGTACCTGTAAAATTTTACTATTATCTAATCCAAACAATTGAATCAGTATTACAAGTTTCAGAAAACATTTATCGTTGCTAAACGAAACACTATTAACATTCGTTAACCTCAGTAATTTATATAGAGAGTAGGCTAATATTATACTATAATTGGAAACGTATTAATATGTTGTGATATTGCGATATTATATTGTATCAGAAGTGATTCTAACAGCATGTCGTGTTTCAGGTAACCGAAGAGCCAAGTGGTTACAAACCATTTAACAGCCAACCGTCGTACTTCGCCCAGGATCTGGGACAAACGTCATCGGCCAAAGTACCATCCAACACAGAATCCAATTCAATACCAACCGTGCCACTGGACATCGCTCTGCAACAGCACTTGGACAATCAACATCAACAACAACTGTCAGCTGAGCACATCGGATCCACGGATACGTTGACGCCCCAAGAGTTGTATTCGCTGTTAAACGGCAACCAGGCCGCCGCCGCTGTGGTACCGCAAACCACATACGTGGTACCTCAAACAGTTATGTACGCTGTACCGCAACCACAGTCGTTGGACCTGCAAGTCGGCCATCAGCTCCAGTACCAGGCACCACCAGTCCAACTACAGTACGCACAACAGCCTGCAGCCACAGGTGTCCAGTTGCAGTACGCGCAACCGGCCGCTGCCGATCTCCAGTACTTGCAGCCGCAAACCGTCCAATACCAACCACAGGCAGTCCAATATCAACCACAATCCGTTCAATACCAGACTCAATCCGACCACTTGCAGCAGCCATACCAGCAGCAATCGGCGGAACAGTACAGCGCACAGACAGCCGCTGCTGAAATATCAGCGCAAAAACAACAACAGCAACAGGAGCTCATACAACAGCAACAAGAGCAGCAACAGCAACAACAGGAGCAGCAGCAGTATTCGCAGCAACAGTATTCGCAACAACAACAGGTGATCCAGTTACAGCAACAGCAACGTGAGCAGCTGAAACAACAACAACAGGTAGAACAGCAGCAGCAACAGCAACAGCAACAGCAACAGGACAACGACTCTCAGTACCAGCAAGAACATGAGGACTACGAGCCCAGGAACGGGGACAAGGGATCAGCCGAACAACCACCTGCAGCAGTGCCGGAGGACGAGGAACACGACCAGAGGAAGTTGCAGAGCATCCGGGACCAATATTACTCGGCTGTCCCCAACGAACAGACGGCCAGCGTACTAGCGCAGATCGCCCAGTCGGCGGCCAACAACGGCGTGGAGGTGGCCGACGAACCGGGCCGAGTGGCGGACTCTGCGAAACCCGCAGAAAAGTCGCCGCCGACCGACCAGTCGGTGCAGATGCACACTTCGGTTCAGATCCAACAGTCGGTGCCACTTTACGAGGGTACATACGCGTCGTCGAGGCGCACCAATCAGGAGTACGCTGACGAGGGCGGCGAGTCCGACGAGCTCATGGAAGGCAGCGAATCGGTGGCCGTCTCCGAGTCACCGTCGTCTTCGGTCAACGGACACGCTCCCAATCAGTTCCCGTACAGCGCAGCCAAGATAAACGCATTTGCCGCCAACTAGTTCTAGCTGACAACTACAGTTTCCCCCATCAGGATTCGAATAATGGGACTTCAATATATAATATTAAGAACTGGCTCACGCCACATTTTAAAAGCTATTATTATCTCTAAAAACTATACTATTTTATGGTTAATATTTTTTGTTTACTAATTTATTTTTTGAAGACATGACATCGATGTCCGTCGTCATACTGGATCGCAGTGAAATTTATTTATTGTTTGTATTTATTTTCGTTTTCATTCTTGATCGAAACGGACGGCATCGACACTCGATAAGTGGTTTCGTCGTACGCCAAATTATTTATTTATATATTTTTATTTTTTATATATTTCGTTTAGTTAAATTAATATGCTAATTTTTTTAAGACTAAACTACATGAACGATTGCTCAAATTTGAAATTATGACCAACAGGCCATAGCCATGTGGCATTTTTCTTGACGTTGAAGGGCTGAATATTTTGTAGATCGACTTGAACATAAGTCACATCACGAATGCCTATAGACTTATCAGTTCAATTGGTGCAAAAAACAGTTGCACTAAACATTTACAGTTAGCCCCGTAAAAGCTCCCAATACTAATTTCAATAGGCAATGACACGTAAAAAAACCCATGACGTATTAATTACTATAAAAAATTAAGTTAATTTGATATTCATGTAAATATAGAATATTAATTATAAGAATAAAATACAAAATTCAAATACATTTAATTGGAAAAATGTAAGCATTTTGTAATGGTTCGTAGAACTTAATAAAGATTTACAAAGTTATTATAGAGTGTATTTATTTTATTACCTGTGTATTGTTACTTATATTTGTAAAGTATAAATATAGCGCTCGTATTTTTTTTTTGTAATGTAAAGTACTCATTGTGCAGTTGTGTATTCACTTAGAAAAAATTATAATACATTTATGAGTAAATAATAAAAGAGTGTTGGTAGTTTCATAGAACTATATTTACTAAATATATACATATAAGCGCGAATTGGTTCAATTTGGTGGAGGTGCTTAAGCCCTGACTATTTATACATTAAAAAAATCAACGGGTACTAATGTTGAACCACGATTATTATTAGTATCTTAAAAATTAACACAACGTTTTAATGGTACATGTAAGTATATTATATCTATATTATTCCCTAAATATTGAAATAAAAATATCTAACATCATGTCAAACATTAATACATATGTTTTATTTAATATTTATTATATAAAAGTATATATAAATACAATTGTTTAGCAGTTTAGCTTAAGGATAGCATTCTATCTTTTTATGAAAAAATATTGAGAACTTTTTCACTATCAATAGTGATATTCTTTTATATATATTTAGGTATACTAAAGTATTTAAAGAAATAATATTGAGAAAATGTACAATACAGCAGCTAAATAATTAATGGCCTCAGTAGTATATACCAGCAATAGTTGGAATTTCAGTAGAAATATTATGTTCCATAGTAACGTTAAAAAATAAATTATAAATTTTAGAAAATTCTGAAGAACTTCTCATTTGATCAAATATTTTTATTTCACCATTGATTGTACTTGTAGCTTTCCTCAATGTTGTATCTTTTCTCTGCAACTGTTTACTTAGAATATGAATTATTTGCAATATATCAAAATATAAAAGCCGAAAGGTGGTTTCTTTAGCATGTTTAAAAGACCTAAGGGAAATAAAAATACATATATTTTATAGTTCTATTAGAAAAAATAATAACTAAGAATACTAAGATATATTTTTGTTTTAAAAATTATTTAACATTTTTGTGTGAATCATAAATAAATTATTTAAGTCTAATCAATAGCTTGAGGTACATCTCTGGTGGCATTTTCTTCAATTTCTTTTTCGAGTATTTGAATAATAGCAGTAAAATTATTCTTAACAGCAATGCAGTTTTTGTTGCGACATGCCTATCGAGTTACACAAAGTCTTGTAATGGCTAAGTGCTAACCTTACGTAGTACATACTACGTACTACTGCATTTGTTATCGTGAAATCAATATAGACGAACGAGTTTTAAAATTAGAATTGGGGAAATAACAGTCGATAACGCTCGATATTACCATCACACAAAAGCGAGATATGTCATTGGGAGTTTCCCGAGTGCGTCCCGAAATGTACATTTTTTAATGTTCCTAGTGCGTCCATAATAAGGGACGTATCCGAGTTGGGTCCAAGATAACATTTATGAAATAGGTAAACAACTAATTGGGTCCGTCCATAAAAACGATAACATACTAATTGGGTCCGATTGTAAAAACGATAACATAGTACATACAAATATTGTAATCTGTAACTTACAAGTATTGATGTACAATATTGTTAAAAGCAATAAAATTAACCCATATATGTATCAAAATATATAGCTCAATAGCAGTATTCCAGATGTTAAACGTTATACAAGCCAGTATAACTTGGCATTCTAATCCAGTTGTACACTTGTACCTACTTTCTGTCCGCAATGGAAAAATTTAAGTTAATGTTTAGTGAAAAAGGAAAACGCGTGTACGTTACACCCGACGGATTTAAATTTTCATTTCACAAGACTCTATCAAACGATGTTGAACTATGGCGCTGCGTACAAATATCTTGTAAGTGTTTTTTTAAATGTAAAAATAATGTATTGATCAACGAGTCATCATCACACAATCACGCGTGTAATGAAGAAAGTATACTACTTAGACAAGTGATTAGTAATAGTGCCAAAAGAAAAGGCTTAGAAGATATTTGTGAAAGGCCTTCTAAAATATTACATCGTTAATATAGTGTACTAAATGATTTAAAACTAACAACAAATCGAGACGAAAATTTTTTGTTAGTTAATGATAAAGTTAGTAACATTATAATTTTCTCCACAGTAGAAAACTTAAAAATGTTATGCTCAAAAAATATTATTTATGTAGATGGAACATTCAAAAGTGTCCCGAAAATGTTCACTCAAATGTTTACAATCCACATAATGCATAACAACCTTTACATTCCTTTAATTTTTTGCCTACTCAAAGATAAATGCACTCAAACATATACACAAACTTTTCAGTTATTAGTCGACGAATGTATTAAGATTAATTTAATTTTTAAACCAGAATTTATATATGCAGATTTCGAGAACGCAATTCATTTATGCGCTCTTTCAACATGGCCAGAAATTATTATTAAAGGCTGTCGGTTTCATATTGCGCAAAGCTGGTGGAGAAAAATACAAACTTTAGGACTTAGTAATGAATATAAACAAGATTCTGAACTAGGTAAATACTTGAAATATTTTTTTGGATTACCATTCTTAAGGCCTGAGGAAGTTGCGGATTGTTTTATAGAAGATCTAATGTCTATTCAACCAAATGATCAACGAATACAAGAATTTTCGGATTATATATTAAATAATTATATTGAATCAGAAGCAATTTTCCCCCCTAATATTTGGTCAGACTTCAAACCATCAACAATGAGAACGACAAATGCCTGTGAGTCTTTCCACGCTCATTTTAATTCAAAGTTCTATTCAGCAAAGCCTAACTTATATCAATTTATCGAAGTCTTGAAAACTGTACAAATCGATAATTACATAAAAATCAGAAGTGGACAGAACAAAAGAAAAATTATATTATTAAAAGAAAACTTTATCGAAGAAAAAATGACGGAAAGAATGTTGGGTAAAATAAATCGATTTGAATTCATAAAAGCCCTTTCGTTTAAATTTTTACCAACCATATGAATATTATAATATTTTTATATTTTTTTAATACTATATACATTATACATACAAATATTAACATTTTATACTATATACATACAAATAT